TGTAAAGCTCCGAACTGTGATATCATCAGCACATTTATTTTAAAAGTTTCACCCCAAGCAAGGCGGGAAGCCACTAGGACGCAAGGGGTTACAGAAGATTTGGAGCTAGATCAGATAGGATTGATAGAGGAAAGAATGAGAAGAAGGATAGTGGATAGATTATGGTAACTGGAGATATCGATTGACATTACATTTGAATAGTTGGAGATTATAGCGATCAGAGAAACAGGAGAAGGGAAGGGAGTTCCACAGGCGAGAGGTGCGAAATATGAAGGTGTTGGAGTAGAAGAGACGGCTACATTTAATAGTTTCAACAGTGAAAGGGTGAGAGCACGGTACGAGCCTCGTAGGGCGCTTGAATTCATGAAGTCTGAGAATCATCTCCTCGGAGCAATTACCATGAAAGTATTTGTAAAAATAAAACAGAGAGAGGCTACGGCACGTCTTTGGGGGGGGGCGATTGTAGACGAGATACCAGAACAGGGCCAATTATATATCATATCCTCCTCTGGATCTTATCAAGAACTCCGAGGCAAACAGAAGGGGCTCCAGATCATGTATGGCAGCAATACTCTATGCAAGGGCGAATTGTTGATTTGTAGATCTGAAAATCTGAGAAGTTAAGCGTCAGACATTCTAATAGGGGGGGGACAGGGAAGGATCTCTGTGTTGATTAATAGAGAGCAGTTTTGTTTTTGAGGCATTAAATTTGACCAGCCAATTCCTGCCCCAGTTCACAACCGATTGGAGGTCCTTTTCGAGACGCACGGCCAGCTTAGTTTTGTCAGCGACACTAGATTTGTTTTTGAGGCAGGAGTAAATTGTAGTGTCATCCGCGTAATGATCTTATCTTTACACATGTTATGGTAGAATGCTTCAGTGCAATAGAGGTTTCTTGATTTATTTGTTGGCTAGAGGTTTCAGTATATCTTCGGTTTTCCAAATTGATAGTAAAGATCTTCGCAACATTAATATATATATAGTGTGTGTGTGTGTTTGTGTTTGTAAAAAGTATATATATATATATATATATATATATATATATATATATATATATATATATATATTAATTATTAAAAAGCGATCAATATCAGAGATAGAGCTAACATATTTGGTTGGATTGATTGAAGTCACAAACTCACATCAATATATATATATATATATATATATATATATATATATATATATACAGTGAGGTGAAACAAGTATCTGGACAGTAAAAAAATGGATTTAGAATCATATATTGAAAGAAAAGCATTGTCTAAGGCTCACACTATATTAGTAAAACAATTATAAATGCAAATAAACAGCAAAAATAAATTATTTGGCACGTATATATATTTTATATACAAATTATTAAAATAGCTAGTGAAAAACGTATTTGGATAGTTCCGAAATAATGTTTAAAATTAATGTTTTGAGTATATTTCATGCTCGAATGTGTTAGAATTTTATGGAATAGTCTAGAACGTGCATTACTTAAAGGTGTTGGCTTTGATGGTCAAGACGTCGCACTAACAGTACTGCAGGATGCCAAAGCAAAGAGAGCTGTCGAAAGATCTTAAAGATCGAATTATTTCTGCACATAAAGAAAACAAAATGCTATCGTAAGATTTCTAAAGGCCTGTGTTTACCTGTGAGCACTGTTGGGTACATAATTAAGAATTGGAAAGCCTTCGGTACTCATGAAAATATGCCAAGAACAGGTGCACCGCGTAAAATATCACAAAAATATTCACGGAAAATGGTACGGCGAGTAAAAAAATGACCCTTTTATGACTCGGAGAGAACTTCCAAAAGATCTCAGCAATGCAGAAATTCAGGTATGCAAGAGGACCATGACTTCTGAACTTCATCGACAACAATTAAAATCTCGCTCTCCTCGCAAAACCCATTGCTAAAAAAACGTCTTGACTTGAATTTGCCAAAACTAATTTACAGAAGCATGATGACTATTATAAGCAAATTTTATGGTCTGATGAAAGCAAGCTTAAACTATATAGCCACAACGATGCTACCCATGTTTGGAGAAAGGATGGAACCGCCTTCAATTAAAAGAAAACCATCCCCACTGTGAATAACGGTAGCATTATGGTTTGGGGATGCTTTGCATGTAATGGTACGGGACAACTGAAAATTATTGAGAGCACACAATGAATGCAGCCAAATATATTAAGATTTTAGAAGATTGCTTTCAGTCATCAGTTGAGAAATTAGAATTTGGACCAGACTGGGTTTTTCAACAGGACAATGATGCGAGACTTACAGCCAAATCAACACGTGCATGGCTTCAAAACAATAACATCAACGTGTTGACATGGCCCAGCCAATCGCCGGACATGAATCCAATAGAGAATCTTTGAAGAACACTGAAGAATCAGATTCGTGAAAGGCGACCAAAGAACCTCAGTGAATTGAAACTTTTTGCAGGAGAAGAGTTTCGCTAAAATTCCCACCAAATCATGCCAGGCGCTTGTAGAAAACTACAGGGACAGACTGAGAGCTGTCGTTGCAAATGAAGGAGAAACAACTAAATATTAAACACGTTTAAATCCTAATTTATATTCTGTCCAAATACTTTTTCCCTACCTCTTTTAATAATTGGAGGGCGCATAAAATAATTACTTATAAAATTATTACTTTTTCCATAAAATAATGTTAGAATTACAACTACAACTGCAAAACACAGCTCTCACTACTTCTATAAAACAACGTTAGAATTACTACTCGTTTTATACTATATGATTTTAAAATATTATTACTTCCATAAAATACTACTCAGAATTACTACTATTAGTAAAATAATGTTAGAATTACGATTATTTGTATACAAAACAGCTTAGAATTGCTACTATTTCTATACTTGTTGAAACTTGACTAATGCATGGAATAATAATGCAACACAAAATGTACTTAGAACAAAATGTATTGAAACAAGAAAGTGTACACAATATTTACATATAGTATTTTGTATATTCCTGGTAAGACCGTTCCTGGAGAATGTGTTGACTGAGTCGCAGTCGGGCAGAGTCTCTGGTTGAATCTCTTGATTCCTCCCTCTCTTCCCGGTACCAACCATATTTATATGCTCGGTACTCCACTATGCAAATTAGGTGGATCCTACCACAACAATACTACACGGTTTAGAATTATTCTTCCTTAATATACCGGTCCCTTCAGGATATTGATGATCATTGTTTTCAAAAGACTTCCTCTCTTAGCAGTTTTCTCTCTTTCCTAAGGACCTCTCCCTGAGCTACGTGGATCGCTGCGTTCAACTCACCCACCTGCCTCTAAAATAACCTTTTGAGATTTCACTTTTCAAAGCCCTCATTATTTGTCTTTGACTGTTTCTGATTCTCAATATAATTGTTATTTTTGTTACCATTTTTCGAATCCTTCAGGAAGGCGCATGTATTTTTTTATATTAAAATTTCTGGAATATCGAGGCCGATAGCTGAAAATGAATATACCATTTATTAAATAAACAGACCGTCTTTTAAAATATGAGTATCCACTAAAATATAGTTTAATGTGTTAATGTGTGCGCGTGCGTGTGTATGTGTGTTCTGTTTGTACTTATGTATCTAAAAACAGTGGAATTTCTTTTTTAAATTACGCACCCACCCCAGGCCAAGTACAAAGAAAACATAAAGCCAGACCACCTCGGGAATTATATCCCGGCAAAGCGAAAAACAGTTACAGGCACAAAAAGAAAGGGCAAAGCCGCAAAAGTTGCATTTCCTCTCCTGCGAGATTTGTAAGTTGGCTGGGATACGTCTGTTTAATATTTACAACGGACAACCACAAGGGGCGCCCATAGTCACAGCGTGTGTTTTCTCTCGTTGGTTTACGCCTCATTTGCCTAGCCAAGGGCTGGGAATGGTGTAAGCGCTAGTGATGTGAAGTGGGGAAGGTAGAAAGATGTAGTAATGCTGTGTGGTTTGCGGTGCAGATTGGCGGGGAAATTGGTCTGATGGTGATGACGTCGTGTGATCGATTTCGGAACAACTGATTTATTGTTGTCAGTTTCCGCTTTAAACAGGGACAGTCGACAGAGAAGCAGAAGCAGAAGCGACAGCGGCAAGAATTAGAGACCTGCGAAAGAAAAAAAAGATACGAAAAAGAAACGATGATGGTGATGATTTGGCGAGAAAGAGAGAAAAAGGCAAATACTTGAACAAAAAATATGGAAAAAGGGGAAGAAATATATCAATAGAAAGAAAAACGGAAGAGTTTTAGAATTTGTAAAAGATCAAGTAGACAAAACCGAAACTGAGGGCATGAGGTGGAAGGCCAAACGACAAGGTAAACAAAGGCTGGAAGCCAAAGAAAGGAACATTAATAACAAAAATTTGTGTGTGGAGAATGAAGATTGGAGAGAGGTTGCTAATATAACGAAGGAAGAAAAATAGAAATTAATGACAAGTAGAGAAAATCAAATAGAATGAAAGTTGCGGTAACAAAAAAGAAACATTAATAAAATAAATTATCAGGGAAGGATAGACTGTGCAGCTTAGCGAGTGTAAATGCCGAATTGATGATTGGGTTTTAAGAAATCTTGTCTGGTTGTTGTGTATCCTTTCGCAAAAATGCGCTTTAGGAAGGCATGAATCTAACTCTTCCCTCAATAATGGGTTATATAACAAAATAGACAGCGTTCTCTCCCCTTGCGTGACAGCCAGTTTAGAAGGAGGAAAATGCTGTGAAGAAGGCAACGGGAAATCATTCAACTATCAATGCGATGTTGTCATGGCAAGTCACGGCTGATTATGCAAGGTAATTTTTGTTGAGCCATGATAACCTAAGTTTCTGGGACGGTGTGTTAAGTAAAAACGCAGAGAGAGAATAAAAAGGAGCGATAGGTTGTTAGTGTCGTAAAGAGGTAAAAAAAAAAACTTAAGATATATCAAAAAAGAAACGAAGTCTTGTTAGCTTATGTCATACATAATGAAGAATAAGGAATGTGAAGGTGGGGTAAAAGGCAGAGTAGTGGCGATTCAGGAGGAATTTTTGAAGAAGGATAAGGAGGAAATCTGTGAAGAGGAAGAAGAGGTCGGTGAGGAAGATCGCGTTGAAGACGTGGAGGAAAGAGATGAGGAGGGAGTGAAGGAAAATTGCTGGAAGTAATTGTATGGTGATAACGAAGAAGATGAGTGTGAGGAGGGTAACGCGGTAGAAGAAGAAGGGCATGAGGACGTGGTGGAGTAATAGGTCGAGGAGGGCGTGTATGAGGTTAAATAGTGCGAAGAGGGAAAGTGTGAGGAGGAAGTAGAGCAAATGTGGAGGAGGAAGAAGGCGAGAAGGAAGAGTGTGAGGAGAACGTTATGAGCATGTCGACAGGGAAGTATGTGAGTAGGATGAGGAGGAATAATGTGAGTAAAGTTGGCAGGAAAAATGTGAAGAGGATGAGAAAAAAGAGTCTGAGTGGAGTGAAGAGGAAGAGTATGCGAAAGCCAAAGAGGAAGAGTGTGAGTTGAGTGAGTAGACAATGAACAAGGAGGGAGGGGAGTTAATGAGGAAGATTGAGGAGGTTGAAGAGAAAGAGTGTGAGGAGGTCAAAGAAGGAGAATTTGTCTCGGAAGGATATGAGAAGAACGAGGACGAAGAGAATCAAGAGGGTGGAGAGGTAAATTTTGCGGAGTGTGAGGAGGTTGTGGGTGGGGAAATGACGTGGAAGTCGTATATAAGAGAGAGAGAGAGAGAGAGAGAGAGAGAGAGAGAGATGAAGAACGTAACGAGAGAGCAGTTGTGGACTCTGAGGAAGTGTAATTGGGGCGGAAAGTTGTTATTAAAAAGACTGGAGCAATTAAGTAGAAAACCTGGGCAGAATTGAGGTATAAAAAAAACAAAAGCAAAGAAGTAGAAAATAGGCTAAGTTGATATAATGTAAGCGGCATATAGTTAGGGCAGGAGGCGGGAAATAAAGAAAAAGAAAGGACAACATAGGGAAGTTAAAAAGATTTTAAAAATCGAAAGAGAAACAATATATGTATACAAAATATACTGCAAAAATTAAGAAAGCTGAACCAAAGAAAATATAATCAAAAGTGGATTCAAGATTTCAAACCCTCGTATCCCAAAAAAAAAAAAAAAAAAAACAAGAGAGAAAATCGAAAACTTCTCGGGCGGAAATAAAAACAGGTGTGATATCTTGAGGATAAATTTCAACGAATTAATTATGTTTAGTCAGTTCCGTTTTGGTGAACCAATTGTAATATTTTCTCTTCTTTCATTTTTTTACAAAAAGCCCTGGAGCCACTCGAGGTAGAGGGTTACTGAGTAAATGGCACTTTATGGAGATATGTGGGAAGATAACGGTTAACCCTAGACTTGAACAAGTTAAGACTGCAGTGATAGTGGATGCATCATCTTGGGAATTGGTTTCACAACGCAGCTGCTCGATTGGAACTTAAATCACACTAATGCAATACGATTCGAATCAGAGTATTTCGTTAAAATATGCGTAGCATGGCGGGTTTTAACTGTTATGATTAGAATGATGGAACTAAAGAATGTTGTTGGTCTGAGCACTTTCCATGGAAATAGCGATAGTGTAGTGAAAGTTTTCCGTCTTTTCGTCTGTGACTCATGACGCCTAGTATTACACGTCAGTCAAGAATATGTGCGCAATATCGTACGCAGAAGTTTGGAGATTGACAATGACAAATCTTTACAACCAACCGTAATTTCAGAGCTTTATCGAAGAAAGAAAATTTTGTATGTGGGTTCGAATCATTGAAGTATTATTTATTTGCGGGAAGAGATGTATTCATACATTGTCAAAAAGATTGATCCATCTATTCCCCGTCCTTCTCTTCATCCTTTCCTTTATCACGCCTCTTTACTCTTGCACCCACTCTCTGTAACCCCTCCCTCTTTACTCTTGCACCCACTCCCTGTAACCCCTCCCTCTTTACTCTTGCTCTCACTCTCTGTAATCCCTCCCTCTTTACTCTTGCTCTCACTCTCTGTAACCCCTCCCTGTTTACTCTTGCTCTCACACTCCGTAACCCCTTCCACTTTACTTTTGCTCTCACTCTCTGTAACTCCTCCCTCTTTACTCTTGCTCCCACTCTCTGTAACCCCTTGCGTTCTAGGGGTACTCCCGCTTTGCTTGGGTTGAAATCCTTAAAAAAAATTAGAATCCTTAATCACGGTGAAACATTAATCCACATTGATATGTCTAGCAACAGCAACGTGTCCATAAAGAATTCATTGTAAAACGTCCTCTACTCGTCAAAAAGAAATATGCTGTTCTCTTCCATTTTAATCCAAGGCGGCAAAAATGCACGACATACAAGAAACCACCTTAGAACTCGATTGGTTTCTTCTACTCCACCCGACATTTTACACCAACCGATGTGGATTAGTGCAAAACGTTTTAATGAAGAAATATCAACTAATGAAATTCAGTTTGTAGAGTTTTAAGAAAGCATTATTTATAGCAAAACAGGCAGAATTTTACTCAAAATATATCGAATGGCACAACTGCAAATAATGCAATAGAATATAATTCTAATTTATTTTTTGATTAATAAATTCAACAAATCTATAAGGACACCACATGAACTACAGCCGCAGTGGTGTTTCCTGGGCAAGATAACCTGACTGAGCCCAGCCCTCTCACAGCTGATTTTTAATTCGGATATTTTTTTATTTCTCTCAGACCGGTTAACACCCAAAGAAATATAGGAGCTAGGCTGTCATGATATTTATCAAAGTTGGGGCGAGGAGAAGATATATATTCATACCTGATGGATACATGCCTTAAGTAAATGCACCTGGAATTTGAACATTGCTCTAACCCCCCAGGGCGATTTCCATGACTCTGTTTCTACAAAAAAAACAAAAACATTGTTTATACAGAATGATGCTGAGAATCCCATGGACAGAATATGTGGGATGCGACGAAGTTTTAAGGAAGATAGAAATAAAAAAAATAGTTACTCAGAGAATCAGAAAGAGACAAGTGAACTTCTACGAGACAATAAATAAAATCAATTGGGATATATTTTTTTTTTCACTCACAGGGCATATTGAAGACAAGCGTATAATCTAGCTAACGAGATTGTGCAAATAATTTGGAGAATAGGGGCTAGGAGGGACAGCATAATAAAATAGATAAACAAATACGGAAATTAGATTCAACTCAATCTAATATTAGGTTGGTGCATAATTATCAGGCGTTTTTGTAGGCGGGTTATTTGTTAATAAAAATTGCGTTTTTGTTTACTTTTTAAATAAAAAAATATTATTGTATTTTCGAGTTATAAAAATGCGTGTTGATAATCATTGACATTTTAAAATGTTATTGTTTATGTTTCTTTTTCATAATAAATATTGTTTAAAACGCCTGATAATTATGCACCAACCCAATAAATATATGTCAAGACAAAAACTTCAAGAATTAGTCACTCGAACAAGTCAAAGCAATACCATACAATAGTGAATTCAGCAAATTGTAGATATATCAATATCTCACCACTTAACATATTACATATGTAATCTCTATCCTTATTCTTCTTATATTTTGTAACCTAAAGGCACATAATTTTGTTGTTATAATTGACAACATTACAGAAATAAAAAAAAGTGATAAACGATAGTAGTGAAATACTGGAAGACAGTAGTAGATCTATTTTCGTAGCTCAAATGAATGCGAACTCAATCGCAACATCAATCTAATTTGCAACATAATAAAATATATCCTCCGACTTCTGATGAAATGGACCTGTAGAAGAAATACTCCGGAAAAATAAGAAAAATGCCTTTGTGAAAAAATCACTGGAACAAAGAATGTAATATTTATGTTCAAAACGATATCAATAAGGCCAATACAAATGCATAAGGATGTATACCTATATGTTATAGATTATGAAATGCGCTTTATAAATTCAGCCGCAAAGAATTGCTTGAACTACGAGGTAAGCTTAATTTACTTGTGAAGCGTATTAGAATGATTGAAAATGTATACTTTATACTGCCTGCACATGGATGGGAAATGAATTCAGTAAATACAGAAACAGAGAAAAGGGTGTAATACAAGGATTAGTTTCGATTAAAAATATTCAACGATCTTGGGAGAATTAGAAGTCATATCAGGATTCAGTATTGGCGTTCACGATCTTAATATAAGATATGCATAAGACAGTGTTTATAGCAGACAAAGAATGGAAACTACAGGAGCTCTAAGAGAAGGTAGAAAGTGAGAAGAAAGGACTAATCATCAATTGTAAAAAGACAGGATATATGATGTTAAGCAGGAACTATGATTTAGAGATACAAAATCAATTAAGTATCGCAATTTAAAGATCTGAGATATGGAACTCCAGAGGAGGGAACTTTGGTACCGTAACTGAAAAGGTGCATTCGAATAGCCAAATTGGCTTTCTTAAACCAAAGCAAAGTATTAAGAAACAGAAAATGTGATCTTGTCTACTAATCTCAGATTTCGTTTTGATAGAGGTTAATTCCAGGTGTTTCAGACACTATTTAATTAGTATTGAGTTCATGTTGACACTTGCTTGTTTGATATTCTCCCGCGAAGAGAAGAACATGGACGTCATTGACATCGCTAGACATAGTAAAAAAAATAAAAAAAACATCAAAGAATTTTTTTTTTTAAATGTAACCTGGAGACGAAAGTAGAAAATGGTTTTGCTTAGAGAAATACAAGTAAATTTTTAAAAAGCTGTTTGAATTTTATGGAAAAGCAAAGAAGACTGAAAATAAAAACCTTTTTTTTTAATTTCCTTCTTGTGTAGATTATAATCGATTAAATTCTTTGAAAGATTAAGCAATTGAACATTTACGTTTGTTTATTTAGCTATTATCTTAATTAAATTTTGCCTATTCGTTATGATTATGTTAATATTGAACTTATTATTTATTGCAAATGTCAGTGTGTCACGCTTTCTCACTTTTAGTCCGAGAGGCTGTAGCCCAACATATACGAAATATCATAAAGTGTGATATCGTCATACCCAGGACACGAGTCGTATTTGCTTACGCTTCGATCTCTGAATGATGATGATGATGATGATGTTAACGGTGGTGGTGGTGGTGGAGGTGCAAAACGAACATCAGCAACAACATGGTAAACAAATACATTTAAATGTCACCCAAAGTTTAGAGTAATAAAACCTCGACTGAGAACAGTGATTCTGGTTTTGCTTGTATCTGATCTTTCTAATGTCTTTTTAACTTTCTGATTACGTTTGAAAGCGTAAAATCGTGTGAACTTGTCTACTAATCTTAGATTTCATTTTGATAGAGGTCAATTCCAGGTGTTTCAGACACTATTTAATTAATACTGAGTTTATTTCGACACCTGTTTGAGGAAGTAGTAGAACATGGGAGTCATTGACATTGTTAATCATAGAAACAAAATTTCTAAAAATCAATTTTTTCTTTAAACGTTATCCCGGAGACGAATGTAAAAAATGATTTTCTTTAGCAAAATACAAGTAAATTTTTAAAAAGCTGTTTGAATTTTATGGAAAAGCAAAGACGAATAAAAACAATTAACAACAGCTCTTTAAAGAAAAATTCCTTCTTGTGTAGATTAAAATCGATTAAAATCTTTGAAAGAATAAGCAATTAAACATTTACGTCAGTTAATTTAGTTGTTATCTCAAATAAATTTTGTCTGTTCGCTATGATTATGTTAATATCGAGTAGCAACCAGAAATAAAGAAAAGAATGCTGAACTATTATATATTACCAGTCCTCTTATATGGCAGTGAATACGGAACAATGTGATAACAAATGAAAAAGAGACTTGAGGCAAGAAAAGGATGTTGAGATTCGTAACGCCTGGACATGTGGAAAACAAAGAACCTAAACCTCTAGGGAACTTAATAAGTAAAATGAACCTGAACAAATTTGATTATCACAGGATTTATCGAAAGCAAAAGGAACAAAAAAACAACCTAACTAATAAACCTGAGTAAGACAAGTTTTACAGAGCGATAAACACCCATACTATGAAAGAACACAGCATATTGAAGTCGAATATAACTAAATATTTATAACTGTAATATTATTTTACTAAAATATTGATTCCAGTAATAATATCATGCGGTAATATTTTTTAAAATAAATAAAGATTGATTTTAGCATAACACGCGACAAGAAAATAACAATTTCAGACTACTAGTGTATTGTATGTTCGACATTTGCATTGCAGAAATATAAACTACATTATGGATAAGCATAAGTGAAAATATGCCACATGGATATGTCGTATACTGCATTTATAAATGCATGTGCAAATTTGTTGCAAGAGGACAAAAACTGTATAGAAAATGATGTGGTATGCAGGTTAATAATCCAAAATTACATATATGTATTCTGATATTTCATTTTCTGCTAGGGAATAAACGTTTAACATGGTTTCTATACAAACAGTAGTAATTTGTCAATCGGTAAACTGCGTGAGAAAAGTGCTGAGAAAAATAGTCTAAATGCGTGTCATTAAATATTTTTAAAAAATGCAAGTTCTAGCTAAGAAATAAATAGTTCGTTTTGAATGTCTCAATATGTTTGTAAATGTCATTATGTCTTTTTTTATGTGTCACAATGTAGTGCAAATTTTGAGCGTCATAAAGAGAAGGGCGAATATATATGTTCTTCAAACGATAAACTGACCGAAAATATTTACTGGGAATGTCTGAATTAGCGTTTCTTTTATGGCATAACGTCATGGAGAAACGTTCTGAATAGAAAAAGTATATGGATTTCTTTTCATATATTATTCTTATCATAAATCAATATTAGAATTGTCAGTATTGGTCCATGCTGGCGAAAAACGATTGCAAGTAATATTGTTGTTTTTACACTAATATATTTCTGGTAGTATATTTTTTATTTTCATAATTAAAAGAAAAAATATAGTAGCCGATAAACTACTACGGATTACCAATATGACTAAATAGAGGATTACTCTTAAAGAGATAAAGCAAAGATTTTGGTTGTTTGTTTCAAATTACCGATGTAACATAACGTTGGTCAACCATTTTCTGAAGAGGTCACCAAACATCGAACTTTGAAAAATCGTTTGAGAAAAGTGTCGTAAATTCGATAACATCTGTATGGGGGTGGATGCCAACGGAGAAAGACGTCAAAAGGGATACAAAACAGACGGAGATTAATTGGGTAAGCGTCCAAAATGGATGTTGGTGAAACACATAACTGGAAAGGGAATAAAAATAGATGGAGCAAAAGTTCGACTTTATATTGCCCAATGGGATAAATGTAGAAAACCTGAACAGACAATTGAAAGATAGAGACTAAAGTATTTAAGACAAGGATATGTTTACCCAGCCAAACTTTTAATGAAAGGATTTGGATATGTTGTTAGTCTCGCAATGGCTGTCGTTGCTGAAGCTGCAACTGCTTCTGCTTTGACTGCTGCTGCTATTGATGTTGCTGCTGATGATGATGTATGTTTGCGAGATATGTCTTAAAGTAATCTTAATATTTCCTTACATACCGCTAAGATTTTAACATCTGTTAGTACGTTGTTGATTGACATAGTTGTCAACGTTGGTACTAAAAAATATCGGATGTTGTTTAATAATGTTCACAAATACAAGAAACTGGGTTTGGCGTGATATGTAAAGAAGAAGAAGAAGAAGAAGAAGAAGAAGAAGAAGAAGAAGAAGAAGAAGAAGAAAGAAAAAGAAAAAGAGGAAGAGAAGGTGAAGAAAAAGAATAAGTAGGAGGAATGTAAAAAGAAGGAATAGAAAAAGAAAGAGAAGTATAAGAATTGCAAAAAGCAAAATGTCAAGTGTTTGTTCAAATAATAAAAATGTAAATAAGATCCGAAAATACAAAACCATAATAAATGGCAAAAATGTTCAAAAAAAAAAAAAAAAGAAAAAGTAGAAAATAAAATAAAATGGCGGCTAATGCAAAATAATCCAAGATTAAATGATGGACAAAAAATTAAGGCAGAATGTTAGAAGTAATTAAAATGAGATTAAAGGACAAGGGCGAGTAAAAAAGAAACTGCGTCTTGAAAATTTCTCTTACAATTACTTACAGAAGTAAATAAACATTGATGGCCTTGATAATTTATAAATGTGTCAGGTTTGAGTGAAGAGATGATGGACTAATTCGAGTTCTGACAGATTGAAAAACCCGGGAACTATAAACGTTATTTGATTGGAAACGAGGCAGCAACGGATTATTAAGGATTTCGTCTGCTTTATGAGACAGAAACACCCGAGGCCAACAGATACAAACAGGGAGAATAGGCTGATGAAATAAGTGGTAACAGAACTAGATGGAGAAAAGACGCACAAAACTATCCGAAAAATATAACCCCCATGAACCGTGTAGTGAAATAAATGTATCTGGATGAGAAAAAAATGAATGAAACAATGAAAATACTAAGATAAAAATAAAGAATAATAATATTTAGAAGATGAAAAAATAAGTGAACTTACCTTCTCCACAGTTTGGAATTCAGAGTTGCCCTTCACTTAAACTGATAAACATAATAAATGGAGGAATAAATTAGAAAAGAAAATATGAAGATAACATGTGGAAGAAAAACATAAGTTAAAAGAAGGAGCAGAAGGAAGAACGGGAAATTAATAATAATGAGAAGGGTGATAATGAAGAAACCATGCCCACCCTTGTAGTTATCAAATAGCAAGTTGCCAAGGTAAATTTGTCAAGAAGAAGACTTCCTGGCATTATCGGTCTGGAGAGGCAGTTCTGACAGATAGAAAAACGCGGGAAATATAAACGGCATTTGATTAGAAACGAGGCGGCAACGTATCATTAAAGATTCTGTCTGTTGCAGAGACACCTGAATCCAACAAATACAGACAAGCAGAATTGGCTGATGAAATAAGTGATCACAGAAAATGTATGGAAAAAAGACGGACAAGAAATATCCGGCAGCTTTGAAAAGTGCCTGTGAGGGAAATTGGTGGGGGGGGCGTCGATAGCTGAGCTAGCACGAAGTCACAAGTCAATGTGACCGAAGTTTTGAATGTGCTGCCGTTATTCTAGATAATACGCTCTCTCCCTGTAACTAAGGTCTGCTCAGCATAGTTGCAGTATAAAGCAGAAGTTGCCTCTGTGGGTGTTGAACAAACATAAATGTGCCTCTGAGAGCTTCTACAATTGGGATTTGCTAGCTACCCTAGTAGACGGGTATCGTCGAATACGAGTGGCCAACTATTATGGACACAATACAGAAGACAGATCTATGACTTTGGGAAAAGAAAACAGTACAAAACTAACCATAAAAGACACAGACAGAATTTTAACTCGACAAGCGGATTACGATTTCGGGGCCGATATCCGCTACTCCACACGCATATCCGCTTCTAATAATAGAAAATTTTCGACTCTACCAACGACATAATTCCTTTCAAGACAAAAGACTCTTTATGTCTGGTTGTAATAATTGTAAAGGTCTCCTCAAATAGGCTATCACTTTTTTTTTTGCTAATAAAATAAGGAACCCTATATTTTCTAAGAAGTTTGAGTGTCCTGACTAATAGTAATCATTTAAGTGTGCTGAATAAGAATAAGTCTCTCTATCTCTCCTCACTTCACTCAGTTTGAGATGTTAACGTCTTCTGCTGATAATGAATGATTTTTTTCTCGTAAATTCTCTTCAAAGTCTACTCTTGACTCACCTGGAGTATCTTTGTATGATTTTCTACTTAAAACCAAGTCTCTTTCGAGTTGCATTCCTATAGCACAATCCATGGCTTCTAAACTGAATCAGCTCAAGGGATGTGGACTTGATAGAATCTCTGCAATTGACCTAAAGAAATGCGATCTTCAAGTGGCTTCTGTTCTCTCTAAACCCTACAATAAATGTGTCGATGCTTCTTTTTTTGTTGAAAATTCTGCTCTGTAGTTCTAGTGTTTAAAAATTCACATACACAGTTTGCTCCTTCTAATTATCGGCTTATTAGGCTCCTAAATCTATTTGCCAAAGTACTAGAGGTTGTAGTCAACTCTGAATTTGTTAAGAATCTGACCTCTCTGGGTCTTCTTTCAGATAATGTATTTTTCGCTACACTAGATTAACCGTTGATATATAAACGATTATTGCTGAAAGTATCTATCATGATTTAGATAAGAATGGTGAAGCTCAGGCTGTTGTTTTGGTTATCACGAAAACATTTGAAAGAGTTTGGCATGTTGGTCTTATTCACAAGTTGAAAGGTTATGGTATTTTTGGATGAGTTTTTGAGCAGATTCAATCTTCTTTTTATTAAATCGCGAAATGAAAGTTATCTTGAGCGGCCACACTTCTAGATCTTTTTTGCATTAACGCAGTTGCCTTCGCTGTTCCTAATTTTGATCAACGGCCTTCATGGAGTCATCAGTTCTCAACTTGGTATTTATGCTGGTTCACAACTATTTACTCCTGGCTTAATAATGTATCTGATTGGTTCATTAAGGTCAAATTGAAAGCTAATCCAAATGCAAAGATTCTTCTTGCTTTCCAGTTAATTTTGAACTTCCAAAATTTTAACACAAAGCCAATCATTATCTTTTGTCATCTTAATGTACAATGGCTGGAAGTGGGGATGTGGGATCGATTAAAATTTTTCCCAGGCGTATTTGCGTGAAAGTGAATATAACGAACCCAACTGGAATTTGAACTCGGCTCTCTGATTAAAATGTCCGTGTCATTATCTATTATACCACTCGCCCATCCAAGGGTACAACACCTGATATTGCCAAGGCATTACCCATCTAGGTACTTACCAGGCTCGACGTTGCTTAACTTTGTTGATAGTACGGCAAACAGTGTTCCAACGTGAAACGGCTTTAATGCCTTTATAATACCTGCACACCTAAGCGTACAGTATCTGGCATTTCTAAGCGGTCATCAGTCGAGGTACTAACCAGGCTCGATGTTGCTTAACTTTGTTGATAGTACGGAAAACAGTGTTCCAACGTGAAACGGCCTTAAAGTCTTTATATTACCTGCACACCTAAGCGTACAGTATCTGGCATTTCTAAGCGGTCATCAGTCGAGGTACTAACCAGGCTCGACGTTGTTTAGCTTTGGTGATCGTACGGGAAACGGCGTTTTATGGCCATATGACAGTAAGCCATGATTCAATTTAACATTTTGATCACATGCTTATAATTCACAATGAACTTTGTTTATATTAAGAGTATTGTATAGAGACTGTTAATCAGCTGGACATTTCTCAGAGGTTTTATTTGTAAAAATGTTTCGTAGTGTAAGAGAAAAAGAGGTGGAAAAAGCGTTAAAAAGAATCGGCCATATGACACACCCGTATTTTATTTGCTCTAGATGGCTTCTAGAAAGGAATTCTTTTTGAATCGATTCAATGACTTAACTGATTAAAAATATTACAATTTACTTAAACTCTTGTGAAATGTAAATTTTGTTAAATAGTATGTTATATTCCGAGTGATTTGGCCATGTCTTCTTTTTTCGGCCATTTTAATTATTTATTTATTGCCGTGTAACTACCGGTCCCATTTCGAGATACTTGAAAAATATGGAACGTTTTCCAGAATTTGAGCTTTGAAAATGGAAACATGCACTTCCGGTCTCTTTGATGCACGTGAGTCAGATGTATTTTATTGTAGTTGGATAACTAAAAAAAAAAAGAAAACAAAAAAGACATATGATTTCCGTTATAAGGTTCGTAATACTATGCAAGTACAAGCATTTAAAAACTGAATGATGCCCACTATAAAATGTTAATGAAGCATTTCACTGCCGGCATCATCATTTTTGATCAACACTTTCAGATGGAAAATGTCTCTTCTGTAACAGGAAGAAGAACAAAAAACATTCGAACACCAAACAATTTTTTATTAGAATTTTGCGCCTGAATACATTTGAATTTGTAAAAAGCAAAGTAAACAATAATACACAAGGGAACGTATATTCATCAGAAGTAGAGTGGCTGAGTGAAATGTTCCCGGCTTCAAGCACTTTACAAGATCTGCTTAAATGACGAAAGCTCTTTTTTATCTATCACGTTATGGACGGATATTTGTAGACCATTCTGCTTACCCGACCGAAAATGGGGCTAGCGGGTCGAGTTCAAATTCCAGACAAGACCGTCGCTTTCGAAAAAATATCATTGAAAAGTATGAATCTATCTCTTCTCCTCCAGCTAGAGATTAATAAAAAAAACAGACTGGGCCCTCTTGCTTTGTCTGTCAACCATTCTAGGAGAAAAACAACTTGAAATTGAAAAGCGTTTGTGCATGGCTAAGCAACACCAAACTTGGAGAAACTTTTTAATATCACAGACAAACATATTGTGTTGCGTCTATAGCTCTGGCAAAGGACATTTCAGAATGTTATCAAAATATTAATATTATCATATACACCTAATACAGGGTGATTCAAAAGTACCTCCCTATTTTATGTATGATTGACTCTCACGTGTAGCTATAATAATATGTCCATTATACATAAAATAGGGATTTACTTTTCAACAACCCTGTATTTCCAGGTATAGCGGTAGTTTTATTGCAGATTTTTATTAGCAATCCAGCCTTAGTGATTTCAATCCTTCCTGACTGTAATCGTTTTCATAATCATATCTGGAATATTTTGCATGCTGTTGACAGTGTTAAATTCACATGCACAAATTTTATCTGTTGATATCAAAATTCGGGATTTAAAAAAAAATATTTCCTTTTTATTCAATTTTCTTTCAAAGATTTTCCTGTATCAGTGATAAAAATCTGTGTGTTTCTATGTTGGTTTTTTTTTTTATCAGATCTTATCTCTTGATGTTCTATCTGCGTCTAGCATAATGGTTATTGGTATGGCAAGTGGTATCGGTCTGAAAAGTTTCATTTT